GTCCCTCAGCTTCGAAACAACATTTCTGGGAAATAAATTCAATCCTGTACGAGATGGCTCGCAATTTGAAAAATAAAACTACATTATTAAAATCGTGCTTAGAAACTCTAACCACATTACATCTCTATAGCAAACCAAGAGGCAACAATTAAACCAATACCTAAGCTCAATGAAGACTTGAGGTCCGTTCCAGTATTTCCACTTTATTTATTCATTTTTGATCAGCATTTATTCTTATTCTATAGATATATTTATATATTTAGATATATTTATCTAAATACTGCTGCTCAAAAGAAAACCCCTAAAATTATTAGATTCAAGTTAGGTTTTTTTTTTTGTTTGAAAAAGGTTGGACCGATAAAATAGGATCAGCAAACGAACTGCACTATCGCCGTAATCGAAAATAGTAACACGTTTCCTGAGGCTAAACAATATACATATACTTGTAGTATATTTCATCCAGTATTTTCAATGTTCTTAGCACATGCACATGCACTTAAAGGGGCTGTTCTTGTTGCTCCATAAATTATGCGACTTGGAAAGTGGAAAATGGGCAAAGTGACATTTTTATGGCCACAACATAACGGGGCTTACGTTCGCTATGGCAACCACCCCCCAAAGAAGTTCTGTTTAGGTTTTGTGTTTTGTTTCATTCTCCTCTTCGTGTTGTGTTTCTATTGTGCGCTCCCCTTTCGACTTGTGGGCCAACACAAGCTCGGAGAGTGTGTTGTTCTTATTGGCCATCGTTCCATTTCCATTGTATGGATGTGTGGTGGCGACTCAAGAGTCTAATTTTTGTTGTTGTCGCTTTGGCTGCAAGCGTGCAGATTATAAGGCGCATTAAAGTCTGATTAACGTCCAAGTAAAAGGCAAAATGTGACGACCTACTTTATGGCCCCCGAAGACAGCAACAAAAAAAAAGGGTGCTTTTCAATACTAAATACATACTCATACTGTTAGATAAGTGGCTCAAGATGGTTGTCCCAGTAGTAGGGCAAGGGCTTGGCTGAAAAGTGTGTCAGCAGATTGTGAGTAGATGGTAATCATCAGTTATTTGCATCTCACTTAAACTATTATGCTTGGAGATTAAGATTGAAATGATTATTAACAAGATAGGTAAGTATAGTAGATAGATGGAGAGATAGACAATAGATAAACCAATAGCTAGTTGAGAAGAGAGTGGTCGTTTGCATGCATAGCATAGTCAGATGTATTCATTGTAAGATCTTTTCATATCATTCGACAAGATTGTAGCTTTACAATTATCTGAATATTTGACTGTATTTTCCAGCTTTTAGCTTTCCAATTCTAAGTAACTTCATTAACTTTATTTTACAGGATTAACATGGTCAATTAAATAACTAAATGGTTGATAACCGGAACAAAGTTCCCATAAATTCAATCTACTGTTTCTTCCATTTGAAACTGAATACTTTAGCGCAATTTATTTTGTAGTCCCTTTTACCATCTACAAGCGCCATATCTCGCTGCCTCTGCCTCTGCGTATGCCTCAGGCAGCTGTCTGTCCATCACTCGAAACAATTAGAATATTGCCATACGGTGCCAACTTCCGTTGAAGATGTTACAACAATAACAACCACATTGCCAGCGAAATCTTCTTGATAGAATTTTCCCGGCAGAGCTTTTACAATGGTTCCCCCTTTTGCCCATAAACCGACCTGGTGCTAGGTGGTCCGTCCATTCCATTGGATTGCGGTCTGGCAGTGTTAAGTGTTTGTCGACACCTTATTGTATTTCGCCTTTTTGTTGTTGTAAAAACGGCACAGAAAATTAATTTCGGGCATTCAGATGTACGTACTACGTACATACATATGTATTTATATACCTATATAGTATGCAGAATATAGATACATGAGTACAAGTACAGCGCAGTTCATTCAACTTGGTTGGATGGTGCTTTAAAAATAGGTTCGTTTTGTTTTGCAGCCCACTTGGCTACTTTTTTCCTTTTATTTATTTTTTTCTATATTTTTTTTTTTTTACATGACAAATGAGGCGTTGTGGAGTGCGTATATGTGTGTATGTGTGTGCCGCAATTGTTGTAAATTGATACGAAATTATATAGTGTGTGCAACCTCATTTGCGTAGCGCAACAACTAAGTGTGTTATTCGAGGCGATAAGACTAAGGGAGGGGCAGACCAAAAAACGGGAAGAGGTGTTTTTTGGCGGCAAAAGCATTTGAAAGTTGTTTGGCGTCCACCGCCCCGGGATTTAAGCATGCCTTTAGGTAACCCTTTAATGAGGGGGAGGAAGTGAAGGTCAATGGCAGTGGAGGTATTCACGAACAAAATGTATTTTAGTGCGGAAAAGCTAGGTATTTAAACTTACATAGTAGGAATAGTAGGAATATGAATGAATTTTTACAACCTGTACTAGAAAGTCTAAATATCAAATTAAGGCAAAAGAAGGCGTGGCAGACCCCATGTTTTACGTAGTATATATACAGACATGTCCGTGTGTCCATCTGCCCGTCCGTATGAGCGCCAAGAACTTTAGAGACATAGCAGCTGAGGACACCAAACTTGTGGACTTCTCTTACCCATCTTAGCAACATTATTTTATATAGCTGCTTTAGAACTGATGCGTTCCAAAAACACTGTTAGTATGATAACTTTTTTGTTTAAAAATATATCTTGAGAACAAATGGTTTGTCTACTTGTAAAATGATATCTTAAACATAAGTATTACCAAAATCTCTGATTCAGATGCAATAGCCAAGACAGCTATGTAACAAAGTTAATTTTATTTGAATGACTGTAGTGGGGAAAATGTTCATTACTGGGTAGCTAGGGCTCAATCTGGCGTTCTACTGAATATTGTGCCGGAAAATGCTGAAGTTCGTACTGTCCTATACTAAAAGTACGAGACTATCGATGGCGCTATTGAAAGCTTGTAATGGTTTTAGTTTTCTGTAGCTATCAATGGATTCAGGCGACTATCGATAACGTTTTAACTGCTTCCTAAGAGTTCAAACACCACTTGAAATATTCTCGATTGATGTCTGAAATAATTAGCCTTGCTTTATATTGAGAAAGACATTTTGAATGCCAAATTTTGAATCTTTTGGTCTGGTTCTTGCGAAAGACCTCACTATTTATCTGCCTCTGCATTACGCTGTGGCTGATTATCTCGACATATTTTTTCTCAATTTATATTCTGACAATGTAGCCGTTTACATAAAAGTTTCTATGGACGGATAAAAAACAAGTGAAACTAGCCTTTATCCATTGATATTTGAAATTTGAATGACTTTTGCAACCCATTCCCGATTTCCATTTCGTTTGGGTGTGCTGGTAACGACGCATTATAGTGAACCGATTTGTGATGCCATTAAGTCGGCGCGGCGCGTCTTCACACTCGATTTGTGGTGCAGTGCAGTTAGTTTTGAACTGCAAATCCCAAGGCAGGCAGTCTGCCAGACTACTGGCACAGAATAACACATAAAAATCAAAAATTATTCTAAACAAGCAACAAAATTGTACAACAACTTCATGCTGTTGTTGCCTATTGTTGTTTTTGGCGTCTGCTTTGTTTAAATGAAATTGAGCCAATGAGATCATGAGTGTTTGCATGTGTTTGTGTGTGTGTTTGCGATATAGCTACGAATTTTCAGGTCTATATCTATATCCCAGGCTATTTGTATGTGTGTATATAGGAGGGCAGCTTTAAATTTACCCAAACGCTCTGATATTTCACTTATTGGCTGGCAATAGTTTAGCACACGGATGGGTATTAGTTTAAGTCTATTATTAAACTAGACTTGTTTTTCAAGTAAAAATGAAGGTTGATATACATAATTAGAAACAAAGATCGTAACAAATCCAACATAAGCAGTAAAAACACTCACTCAAAAATCGGATTATCCGGATATACCGTCAAAAAAGGTTACTGAATTTAAAGAAGTACTCTTTGAAGCCTTTTGATTGCAAATTTCAACCAAAAGTAATACATTGCAGAGATAAAGCAATAGGCTCCACCGTTTGGCATAGTTTTAAAAATATCGTCGATAGAAGAAATCAGTGCGTGGTGATAGAAAAAAGTTGTATTTCTTCAAAGTAATATTTTGGTTAACTTACTCATCTTTCTAGCAGTGAGCGAAAGCTATGCCAATTCCATCAACCTATCTTTTACGAATAATTGCATTTTAATGATTGGGAAACAGACGTTGGGGTAGAAAATCTAGAGATTTCGTTTTTCTTTGGGCACAATTTTCAAGCAAACAATGCTACAGTCGCGCAGAAGCATTAAAATCAACCGATTTGTATTAAATTTACAAGTTGAAGTATTTGCCTTTTCTTTCTAGGACTACCCTCGAACATATTTGTATGTATGCATGCACGTACATATGTAAATATATGTATCAGAAAAGTTTTCCAAAAAGAAATGTGCGTGAAAATGTAAATATTTTCCACATTCTGAATGGGGTTTGTGGGGCGCCTGAATGGGCTGCAAAAATGAACGGAAATCGCTTCAAGATAGTCTGGAGCCTAGCTTATCAAACACACATACGTATTTATATGTATATGTGTGCATGTATTTGTGCATACATGCAAGGCTATAACGAAATCAGCGCATTTGCATGAATGGCGTCAGCAGCGACCACAGCCTTCCCGCCCCATTGAGTGTGCTAGCAACAATAACAACAACAACAACAAAAAACCATAACAAAACAAAAAAAATCAAATAAATTGTAGACAAAATACTAACGCCAAGCGAATGGATAAATTGAGGGGCGAAAAAACTCAAAACAACTCGCGCCTGAGCCGCGTTCGACCGAATTCAAGGTAAGCCGCGTTTTGTGCGCGTTTTCTGTACTGTTTGTGTCGCAGTTGAAGTGCGCAAATAAATGAGCATTTGCTGATTATATAAATCAATTTTTTATGCGGCTAGTTTAAGTGAAAGTGTTCAGAGCACATTACTGTGGGTGGCCCCCCACTCATTCCCCCTCCCCCACCATTAGGCAATTAAACAGACTTACCTCTTTAAAGTCGCAGAAGAATTGCGTCGAATTTATTGTTGTTGCCTATTTTAATATAGGTATTTTGTTGTAGTTGTAGTGTTGACGTGATTCTGTTTCTTTAACTTTTTTGCAACCGGTTTGTTGTTTAGCTTGTATATAATATTTTGTATATTTGTATGTCTGTGTTTTATGATTGCTATGGTTATAAAATTAAGCTTTTTAGATAAATAAATAAATAACAGAGAAAGAGAGAGAGAGAGAGCTATAAATTATTATAAGCGTGTATATACATACACACATATTTATTTTTTAACAAAAAGAAATACAGTTGCGACTTCCATGTGAAAGCGACAAATTTGTGTGCACTTTGCAATGCTTTCGTTTCTGTTTCTTCTGTTTTTTGCACAGATTGTGGGCATGGGAGTGAGCATTTGTTAGACTCATACATTATCTTATCTTATCGGTACGTTGAGCAATTTGTCATTATCTGCGGCTGATAAAACGTCGAGTCGAATGAGTCTGTTTGGTTGCTTGACTTGTTGTTATTGTTATTGTTGTAGTTGTTGCTGCCGTACATATTTATGTAGCTATGTACATATAACGGAAACAATGCTTGTAACTTTAGTCATACCTACATATTTCTAGTTTTGTTTATGACTTAAATATATTTATGTATGTATACAATATGCTTGATAGTAGATCGTTGCTGCCAAATGATGTCATATTAGGACCTGAGTCAAGAACTTCGAATTGGCAAAATTTGGCATTCCAATTGGAAAACAAGAAGTTACAGATTTGAAAACTGTACCCGAAATATGATGCAGCCAACTACCCCCCTGGAAAGGTAGTTACATACATACATGAATTTCACGATATGCATATGTATGTATGTTAATTTCCATAATTATTTTAATTTGAAAGTCGGCAGCGAAAACGTCACGCAGGCGCAGGTCTAATTTTTTTGTTGTGTGGGCTTCAAATGCTAGAGGTGATGCTATTGTTGATGATTCATAATGTGATCGAATCATCGCTAATGCAAACGAGAACACAAACACACACACACACATACACACACAACAACTACACACTAATGAGTGTAGAACAGCATTCGAGTGATCAGCAGTCAGTATTTGGCACATGACGTCATTAACAATAAGCAGGAAAGCCACGAAGTGAATTCGAGACAATAATATAATTGACAAGGGTTGTGGGGGTTATACTATGCTTATGCTTGCGCTTGAGGGTTGTGGGAGCTGCGCAACCAAACACAAAACTTGCACTTGAATTTGAAACCGTTGTTAGCGCCGCCAAAGAGCAGCACCAGCAACAACAATAACAACAACTGGTTCACCTTCACCAGCAGCGGCCAAGCAAACAGCAACCGGTGGAATTCAAATTAAAACTACACTTGCTTGAAATTGCACTTAAACAAAAACAACAACAAAAAGCACACGGTCCGCACACAACACAGGCACACAGCAATGGCTATGTGTATTAAATTACGCGCTTCTATTTTTATCAAATTCCAATTTTTGGCGCTCGCAACTTTTAATCATTAGCCACTGCACGCTTATGATGTTTTTTTTATAATTCTACTGACGGACAGTTTGGCGGACACCCACCACTTACAAATTTCGTAGAACGCGCGTTAAAAATGCCGGGCAGAGCAAGTAACACGAAAAAAACTAATTACAAACAACAACAACCGAACCGCTGAACAAACGAAAATGAACTGACGCTTGTGCGGCGGAATGAATTGATGTGCAGCAGCCATATGACGCTAACTCAACAGCTGCGCAGCTGTTGAGCAACATGAACGCCGGCTAGATGGCGCCACTTTAACCATTTCAGCCCTGGCTAAACTTAAAGGCATAATCAGCTGTGAGTAGAATTGGGAAATCTAGTTCAGCAGTTCCTATTTCAAGAAACGAATTGATCGTTCGGCCGTTTTCTCAGTTTAATTTGATGTTAATATATTTTATCCATTAGAATGATTTGGTAGGCCAGGCAATTATATTGGAAAAACAAAATTATAATAAACAAGACACATTTATAATTTCACTTGCCCGCCCATTTTGTGCAATGATCGAAAGACCTAATTTATGAACTAAGACTCAAAAGCTTATTTTGAGCAACCGGTCATTGGGACTAGTTCGAACGGGACCCACTCAACTGTTATTTTTTGAAAACATAAAAAGAACGAGCGAAAAAGCCCCGCATTTATTAATATTGCAGTAGCAGAGTATTCGTTCACTGAGTTTGTTTGCGATGGTACGGGTGTTTCCCCCGTTCACCTAACCGGTAACGGGGCACCTGCCGGGGTTTCTTTTTGGCACATGCCGATCGACGCTGACTTCGAGAGAATCGCGCGTCATTGCGTCATCATCAATCAGAGAAGCTAATAATGTAAACACGCTCAATGCCTGTGAGCCTGCTAAAGTTGCTCGGCTGGTTTTTAAGTGCGAACATGTGCGCGATTAATAGAAACAGAAGCCCGAATCGAGCCATCCACAATGTTGTTGCACTTTGGCACATCCACACGATCTACACTCCACCAACGCCAATGAACTTGAACAAGGTGCTTGGCGATCAGTTAGCTGACAAGCTTGCCGCTCAACAGCCGTATTAAACGCATTATCCAAAGAAAGCCTTTGGAAAAGCACATTTGGAAAATGGCAGGCAGTCGGAAAAGATTCGCATCGCTTACGTTTTTGTTGCTCGTGCTGCTGCCGTTTGGCACAGGTGCCGTATTTTCACCTTCGGATTTCTGTTCAGTGTATATTGACGTTTCTTTTTTTTTTATCTGTATGTTGCAGTTTGCAATCCCGCCCGACGCCTCCAGTTACAACGCTCTATAACTTATCCCAAGGAAAACTACGATGATTGCTTTCTGGATAAGGAGCACAGTTTGCCGGGCAAATGCAAAAGGATGCAGGATTGTCCTACAGCGCTGGAGCGTTGGAGAAAGGATAAACTGGAACCCAAAACGTGCCACTTTATTAAATTCGATCATTATGTTTGTTGTCAGCAGGAACTGACCACAACGGAATCTCCAAAACCCACACCTAACCTGCCAATTGTGGAAGCAACGACTCCGGATTTCAGGGATTTCCACTTAATTCCCAACAATAAGCGACCCAGCTTATTAGGTATTCCGAAATGGCACTGTGATTAATCTAATGACCATAATAACTTAATATACTTATCTTTCTCTGGCACATTTAGCTTGTTATATGCACTATAATGCTGTGCCAATCAATTCAAGGGAAATCACCTTTGCTACCGCTGTATATGGCGGAAGTCCAACGAACTACCGTGAGTTCCCCTACATGGCTGCCCTCGGCTGGCGTTCAAACTTCGACGAAAGTATTTTCTATCGCTGCGGCGGCGCTCTTTTATCAAATAATTTTGTACTAACGGCTGCTCACTGCATCGACTTTGGAGGGTGAGCTGGGAACATATCACATCCCCTTTTCCAACGAAATTATAATTAAAATGTGTTTGTTTATAGTGAATTGCCCGCTACAGTGCGTCTGGGAGGAGATAATTTGACACTCAACAACGGCGAAGATTTCAAGATCAAGCGCGTGATCATACATCCCGACTACAGCCACGGTTCTTCCTACAATGACATCGCCTTGTTGGAGCTGGACACAATCCATCCGCCTAAACTAATACCCGCCTGTGTTTGGTCCAACCCCGAACTGGCCACCGATCAATTAACTGCCATTGGCTACGGACAGACACGATTTGGTAAGACAAACAATCTCTTTCCGTTGCTTTGAATATTTCATTTTTCCAAACTTTCCTACTCGAATTATTTGATTTTATTGAACTATGATGCTGTCTTCAAAGAAAGCAAACAATGCGTATCCTATTGCTGAGGAATTTTTATAAATTCAAAAATTAAACAAAGCAGTGATTGTTTGGGATTTTGAAAACAGTCCTTTATGTTTCAATGCGCATTAATGTTGATTTCTATTTAAATAGCCGGTGTGTCCTCAGCACAACTCCTGAAGGTGCCGCTGAACTTTGTCAGCAAAGCCGAATGTGAGCCGCACTATCAAAAGGATTTGCTGCCCAAAGGAGTGGCCGAAACCCATTTGTGTGCCGGTGATCCCGCCAATGCGCATGATACTTGTCAGGGTGACTCGGGGGGACCGTTACTAATGGATCATGGGCCCTTTAAGTATGTTGTGGGCATCACATCCTTGGGTCATGGTTGCGCCAGCGGTCCGCCAAGCATATATACGCGCGTCTCATCCTATGTGGACTGGATTGAAAGTTATGTGTGGCCCGCGTCAGCGGAGATAAAGGAAACGACACCAGTTGATGTTGATCTAAAGTTTGCTTTGCGCACCGAAACCTAGCAATTTGGTTGTACATAGGATATTATTACGACTATTTAAACAATAATATCTAGTTAATTAGCAATTAAAATCCATTTTGTACATATCCATTAAAGCAGCGTTTGTAAAATTATTGAATAAATATTTTAAGCTTAAGGTTTTTAATTTGCATTTATTTTCATAACAAACTGAGGAGGATAAGGAGTTTTTATTTTTCTGTAACACCGCAGGAAGTAAATAAATTACAAAAATATCATACCAATGCTTTTAAATACATAATCGTAATTTAAATTTTCGTATGATAAATATTTGAATTTCCACTACATATCACGAAACTGTCGGTAACTTCTCAATTAAGGAGAACATTTTTGTATAAGTACTTTGACGAGCCTTAGATTTAATATTTGATTGGAAATATCCGTATTCCAAAACCCAAACTACTGCATCATCTATGAAAGGCACAAATCAGTATCAGTATTCGGTTTATCCATCCAGTATATGGTGGGAGCGCGGCAATGGCTTGTTCGGAATAATAGCGAGAAATAAATATTGTTCAAAGCAATTTCCAGCAATCGGGAAGACACTGAAATAGATCTATTGCACAAATAACTAAAGCACTTCTGTTTACAATTAGCAGGGCACCCATTTCGACGACTATATCAGATGTAATCCAGTTGTTTGGCAACTGTTTTGTGAAAACAGCTGCGTAGTATTCGTTTGTCGGGGCCAGGCGAGACATAAAAGGCAAGCTCAGAGCTCTGCGGGTCTACAGTAATTGCGAAGTCTTTGTGAGAGACCCGGAAAGAGCAAGAATGATGAGTTCCAGTAAATATACGCTACTCCTTGTAAGCTGTTGCTGCAGCCTAGCGCTGGCCTATCTGCCGGATGTCAATATCTTCACCAATTATCGCACCGAGGTGTACAACGGTGAGTAGCTGGTAGCCGATTATTGGGATCCAGGAAGATTCGGTTTATCATCTTCTATGGAAATACAATCCATTATTTCAGGCATACCTTCGGAGATAGACACCACACCCTTCATACGGATTGGCGACAACTACTATTATATTGAGCCCATGAACAAGGTGAATTGGTTCCAGGCCGCTGGCGCCTGTCGGATGATGAACGCCCATCTGGCCTCGATTGAGGACAAGCCAGAGATGGACGCTTTGGTGAAATACATGAAGGCGAAGGGATTTAAGAACAACGACTATTTCTGGATATCGGGGAACGATTTGGGCACTGAGGGCGCCTTCTACTGGATGTCCACAGGGCGGCCCATGACCTTCGCCCCATGGAACGGTGCCAAACAGATGCCCGACAACTATGGTGGCAACGAAAACTGCGTCCACATGTTCGGCACCCGTGAACTGATCAACGATGCCAACTGCAAGATACAGATGCTATATGTGTGCGAGGCCAGCGAGCCGAAGACCTTTAAGTTTACCTACATTAAGTGGTAGATCAATTTTAGATGAGGACCATCATATAGTATATCCGTTTTGTTTTGCCACAAGGCAGACAGTTTTGGTTTTTATTTAAATCATTCTTTCCTTCATTCATTTTTTCTTTGTTTTTGTTTTGTATTTGTTTCATCTTTTTATATATGGTGCGCTTTCGCTGCGCCCATCAATTTGTTACCTTTGCTAAATACATATATATTTATATATAATTTAATTTAGGTTTTCTCTTTCCTCTTATTTTCTTCTCCTCTACTCATTTCATTTAATTTTTTTGTTTTTTTTTTTGTTGTGGTTTACTTTACTGTGTTTGTCGCATACTAAATTGTTACCGTTGCTCGACTTAATAAACTTTTAAATATAAATTTATCGTATCATATATTTATATACTAGATACATATATTCATTGCATATCGGCTAATATCGTATCATCAACTCGTCATCTCTTATGTGTACGCGCGTCTACAAACACTAACAACAGCGGCTTAAGCTGATATACACAATGCACAACTATATTTTATACATATAGAGATATATGTTTATATCATATACTCTATATAGATATTGGCTTACATAAAATAAGTTAATAAAATACCGTACAATGTACATTTACATACAATTTATATTAATACATATGTATATATAAAAAAAAAAATCATAATAGTTATGTTAGTACGACTTACTTGACTAGGCGAAAACACTGATCGCTTTTGTTTTTTCTATTTTTATTTCGCTTCTTTTGAATTGGAAAATGTACGATAGGAGGCTGCGAGGCGACATTACCTCAAAACCTTAACATGCCTTAAACCAACGTGGCGTTGCTAACAAAGATTCTTGATTCTGTTCTTGTTGTTGTTGGTGGTTTCTAATTTATGTTTATGCGTATAAATATGTATGTTGTGATAGTTGTAATGCATATGTATGTCTTTAGACTACATTACAGGTTCATTGCCGCATCCTTATATCTACAAGATATTGTTGCCTAACCTAACATTTCGAGTTGTTCATTTCACATTACGCTTAAGTGTAAACGGTAATCGATAGTCGATTTAATTTTGAATTAATTGTAATTATGTTAAATGTACGTTTCCATATAAATATTCAACAGACGAGTGCATAAATTTAATAGTTAATTTCATCTCATTTATTTGCCTCTTTCATGAATTCTATTCTCTTTCTTTATCCCTCCCTCTCTTACTTGGTAGGGTCTTACAACTTTTAACATAACTGTATGCTGATGATGCCTTAGAGTTCCATGCGTGTGTGTATGTATGATAGTGAGACGATTCGAAGGTGTGTGTGGATCGTTCTCTTTCGTAAGGTGGGCTCCCAAGTGAATATACATACATACATTATACAACGATTAGACTTTTCAGAAAGACGAGTGTTAACTTCAGGTTTTGGCCCAGTTAGTAAAGCTTAACAAACTGTTCGTTCAGAAACACACACACACTCTCTCACACCCCACCATTTTTTCTCCCTTTTCGAGCAGTTGCTAGCAAGCTTGAAACGATTTCTCGGTTAAATCTGTAGAGCACATGCACGATCTAGTTAATAAATTTGAAAACAGAATGGAAACACCATATAGAGCGGTTTTTAGACTTAATATCTTGAAAGGCATTCTAATGATAATTCAGTACTGTTGGAAGAAAGATAACATGACCGTGCGGGGGGACCAATTGTTAGGCTATTAGAGCTTATGTTCGATTTTCTTACTAAATGGGCACTGTTTGGGGGGAGGGGTTTGCTCTTCCCGCATATTAAGATGATTGTACTTCATAGATATTATTGCAGATAATAAGCGAATAAAGCAGATGATACACTATAGCTTCCTAATCTCCTCTTGAACCACATCGCACATGTGCGAGATCTGTAGATTTCGCTGCAAGTTGCCGTTCCATACTCTCTCTTTTTCTTCTTCTTTCATGCAAATAAACCCTTCTACGGCGAAACAGCAACAACTACATACATATGTATATACATATCTATCATTTCGTTTCTCCTATTTTGGAAAGAAGAACAGCCTAGAAAAATGTTATACATATACAAAGTCTGAATATTTGTTTTAAAAACCTCTCTCAAAATGGCAGTACGTTTAAGTTTAAGATTGAAATGTGGGCGAAACGTTTCTGCAAGCCTTACAACAAACACAAGAAATATAAACACATTAGAATCGAATTAAGCAAAAAAAAAAAAAAAAAAAAAAAAAGACTAATGATAGAATAATGCAGAACTAGCAACAAATTACAGCAAATGGTATTTACACACTTAGTGGCAGGAATTAATAATCAATAAGAATTTACACACAATATTGGTTTTGTAGTTCTTTTTTTTTTTTAGTTTTTTGTTGTTTTGTTTTAAAACGCATTGCATTGCAATGCACTGCGTTCGTATAATTTTTGTTGTTGTTTGCTTAATGCTTAAATTATAATATTAAAGAACATGCCATAGCGATTAAAATAGCACCTTACAAAGTAGTAGCCTGCCATGGAAATTACAATGTATGACGAAAAAAAAGATTAAGAAAACTAATTATTACATAATAATAAACTCTTCCTAGTTATTTTTTTGTTTCTTCTGTTTGTTTGTTGATACTAATTATTATAGTTATCAATTTTTTTGTGGCGCCTGCAGCACAATTTCACTTAATAATATTAGCGTGAAAATATGCGCGGCTGATGCGCCCTTTTTACAATTTGTGAGTATGTATTATATATATTATATATACACATTACAAGTTTAAAATAGTTGTTACTTAAAAAGTACATATATATAAGCATCGTATCAATCATAGTAATAATAGGTAATATATATATATATATGTAATATGTGTGTGTGTTTTCTCCTTGTTATATATATAAATGTATGTAAGTTGGGGGCTTCAGTTTGAAACATTTAAACATCTAAAAAACTTGTAGCTTAAATTATTTATAGATATATCTATATATGGTACAGTTTAACAGTTTTTAATTCATATAGTACACTATTCACTTGTTCCTTAACTTTGTTACTTGCTAAGTGTTGTTGTATTTGTGTTGGAGGTGGTGGTGGCAGGCCAGGGGTTTAAGTGTGTGTTTGCATTCATAATTATTTTTGAAACAAAATGAAATGTGTAGCTTCTGGGTGTGTATGTGTGTATGTATGTATTAATTAGCGTATAAGTAGTTAAAGAGTACATTACTAGGCTTTTGTTGCTGTTGTTGTTGGTATTCCCTTTCTTTCGTTTAGCATTTATCATGGTTAGGCTGTGATCGCAAGACGCCGAGCTTCGCGCACATACGAAGGGGGCATGCGCCAGCGAGACTGCATATACAACAACAATATGATTTCTACTAGATTTAATATTAGTATGTGTGTTTGATTATTCATAATCAGACGCGAGTACATACAGTTCACTAAATATAAGTATACATGAATATTTTTTTGTTTACTTTTCCTTCTTTTTTTTTTTTAAATAGTTTTAATGTATAATATATTATATGAAAAATGGCGTTTTGGATTTTTTGGTTCAGAGTATAATGTCTAAAATAGTGGATGTGTGTGTGTGAGTGTGTGTAAACTCCTAAAATGCAAACTCATTTACAACTTATAAGTATAATGGAAAAAAATGAGATATGAGCGAATCGCAGAAGCTATGGGTGAGGAGGGGGTGGGGATATCTTGAAACGCCAAATGCCGCCAAAAGCGCCTCTCTAGCCGCAATCAACTTAACGGGATGTCGTCACTTGCTCCGTTTCATGTGCCTATATTGTTATCTCTTTCAGATTCATGGCCACAAGGTTCTTTGGCGCGCTACAGTAAGTTTGTTCATGAGCAGAGTGTGGAGTGACTGTATGTGTGTATGTCTCGGTGTGTGTGTGTGTGTGCGTGTGTTGCTCCATGAGTCTGTCTTCCATGTTGTAGCTATGGTTGTGTTGACTTTTTATTTCAACTTAAGGTTCATCCAGTATTGATGTTGCTGTTGTTATGTGTGTATATCTGTATATCAGCACCGTGGTCGTTTTCTGGGACTCACGCCCGTGCCCGTTTCATGCGGAGTAAACATTTGTTGATACGGATAAAAACGCATGCTTCCTCCAAACGGTTGCTGGTGTGGTGGCTCTGGCGGATCTTGCTGCTGCTTCTGTTTCTTCAGCTGCTACTGTTGTTTTTGCTTCTGATAAGAGCTCAGCTCTATTAACGTCTTAAAGCCGTTGCCATTATCAACATTATTGGAAAGATGAGCATTATTTGCGGCATCTTTATAAGCGAACATATTTGACGGCTGCGGTTTTCGGTTAAAGGGATTCTGGGGATTGGTGCTGAGTATGGCACAATTAAAAGTGCTGTTTGTTGTTGTTGTAGGGACAGGGGGGATGTAATTCCCATATTTATTATTGCCGCAGCGGCCGCTGATTCTTTTGTAGTGGTTGTGGTAATTGTTGTTTATCTGTGTGATGTTTATGGCGTGTTGTGGCTGCTGTGAGATGCAAAAAAATTTATGATAAGAGGTGCAACACAATTTATTCATAAAGTAGTTCCTTACAAATATCAAAATATCTTTCCAGCTAATGATTTAATATCCGAATTCTTAGAATCTCCTTTCTATTGCAAAATCGTACAGCTTTTGAAACGATATCGGAAATTTATATTTTAAATTATAAAATCATTTCTTTTTTGCGAAATGAAAAAAAAAAAAAAAATGCATAGTGATAAAAGAAAAGTGTCATATCTGATGAAATGTATTGCATTTTAATTTTCTTTTCTAATACGGAATTGTATAACGTATATACACGTATCAAAGTATCTACATATCTGAAGTAAAACCAAAAATATTCTAGTACTCACAATTCAATTGAATTGTGCGCAATTGAATTTTGTCAATTTTGCCATATCCATGAAAATGATAGGTTTTAAAATTTTCAACACATCCAACAAATTTGATTGCACATAATTTGATCTAATTCCAAAATGGAAAAAATCTCTACATATAGATTTCAAGAAAAAGAGATTCAGTGAATATTGAATGAATGTTATTGAATCAATAGCTTCGAAGTAGCTTTGGTTTTTGTAATGACTTGCCTAGGAAATAAATATTTATAAAATAAGTGTCTTAAAGAATGAAAAATTAAAGAGTAAGTGAGAATTTCCTAAATTTACTCACACACCCTAGGCAAGGCATTTGGAACAATTTAATCAAGGTGCACTCTTAATGTATGTATGTGTTTTGTTTGGATTGCGATGAGAAGAGAGTGGAGGAAGTCTTACGATTGTGCGTAGTTTTGGGGAGGAGGGACAGAAACATTACGGACGGCTGGCTCAGCGACACTCACCTGGGGCGGGTTGTTTTGATTTCGATTTCGTTTTCGTTTTCTGCGATTGTGGCTGTTGGTTCTGTTGCTGTTGTTGTTGATGCTGCTTGCCAGCAGCGGCAGAATCTGAGGTGTCGCCAGAACCGCAGCGGGACGAGCTCGAGGAAGATGATGGGCTTGATGCTACTGAGGAATCAGACGATATGGAAATGATCGATTGTGGAGAAGATGGTCTAACCGGTGTGGCACGCAACGGCGGCAGCCGATTACAGTTACTGCTGCTAAGCGGCATTGCAGCATTGGAGGGCGTTCCTTTTGGTGAACCCACCGCTTTAGCATGGGCAGCTTCACGACACGCTTGATAGGCCAATGCCTGCTGTTGCTGCGAGGAAGGGCTGGACACGGCGTGTGTTGGATATTGACGATGTTGTTGTTGCTGCTGCTGATGATTGCCGCTATTGTTGTTGCTACTGCTATTGCTGCCGCTTGAGGATAAACGCAAATGCTGTTGTTGCTGACGTTGATGCTGATGATGGCTGTTTTGCTGCGTAAGATGTTGTTGCTGATGATGACCACCCGAGTAGCTGCGCTGGGATGTTCCTGGACGATGCTGTGACCCTCCTCCGCCGCTGCTATAGCGTGACGATTTGCTGTAAGTTGTGGTGGCACCGGCATAGTTGTTGGTGCCACTGACACTGCTACCACTAATAGCGTACGAATCGGTGATGTTTTTGGAGAGCTGCTGCTGTTGCTGCATTGGTGGCGGCACATATATATGATGTGGATACAAGCTACGCTGATGCTGCAACGGCGTCGTCGTCTGTTGGGCATATGTAGTGCGCATCGCTGGTATGTGGGTAGGTGGTGGCGGCGATGGCGGCGTCGCATAGTCCGGCGAAGAGGCTATCGTCACGGGCACTCCTGTTGCGCTGTTAACCAATTCCTGACTGCTGCTCGTTATAACGTTGCTGCTCAGAATGCTGTTGTTGGTGTTTGTTGTACTGTCGTCCAGAAGCATGATGTAGGCAGGGGACGTCTCGTTGAGTTGATCGATGTCTTGTGGCTGTTGTAGTAGTTGTGAAGAAGATATACATGTATGTTGTGTCGGCTGGGCCTGTGATAGCAGCGCAGCAGTTGAAGCAGCAGCGGCGGCGGTGGCACTTGCGCTCATTGTGGTGCCAGTGCGCATAATGCGCACGGCACAGCCGCCGTGGGCAGCGATAATATCGCCACCGCCGCCGACGCACATTGCCAGCGATTGCTGGTGTTGTTGCTGCAACTGCTGCTGCTGCTGCACAAGGCCGGCAACTATTCATCATGTATCAATGCGAGTGGGTGTGTGCATTACCGACGAGCCCGATGGGTTGCTGGCTCCTCCTCCGGCCGCCAGCACACTTTGTGTGGCGACCACTCCAGATAGACCATTGAGCGGTGACGCGTTGATCTCAATGATTTCACAAGCGCCAGTTGTCGACGTCGGTGTGTCTCCAACGTCGCAGTCTTTGCTATCCTCTGAGTCATCACCAGATGAAGTGCTTCCACGTCTATGTCGTAGATTGTTGTTCCCCAGCTGTTGCTGCTGCTGGGTTTGCTGCTGTGGTGTGGTTGTCGTTACCGCCATTGTCGTCGTCGTCGTCGTATGATAAGGCTGTGCTGCCAACGCCTGGGGCTGGAGTACGGCATGCGGATGGTACAATGGCTGGCAGGTAGCTGGCGTCAGTGCACCCATAATTAAGTATTTGGCGCCAGCAGCGCTGTTTGTATACGCAGGTAGGGGCGAAATGCGATCAACAACGACCAAATGCCCAAAGTTTTCACGGATCCATTCGCGATAGTCGATGACGTCGTCGGTAATGTGTATAATGCGACCTGAAAGTTCAACTCGTTTCAGCAATATTCTTTTCTAATAAGCGACACAATAATATCAACTCAATCGCTTACCCAGTATGGAGTTTGTACGCGAATCAGCACCCCACAGATTCAGCGGATTGACTGCATGGTCCAACACCATATAGGCATAATGGAATGCCTGCTTGACCTGGAGAGCGCCATACGAGCTGCGTCCAATGTCATTGCCCGGCGTCAACGGATCCTCAATGCATAACAACGATGGACGATGGCCATCGACCATGTCCCGTTGCAGTTCATCCTTGGGCATATACCGGCCGCCATTCTTAATGGAAATGCCAATTTTCATATAGTTAAAACGGCGGCCATATAGCTCGAAAAATTCTAGCAACAGCACGCCCAGATTCGTGCTGTCTGTATAAAGGCAACGTGGATGTAACTGCAGAAAACTTATGCACATGAGTATTAGTGAGTACGAGGATATACCACCGGTGAACACTTCATTGAGATCGCGCTGTAACAGAAATTGCTTTAGCACCAGCACCAGTTTGCCCAACACCGGATACTCTTGCTTAAATTTCTTGATCAGCTCGGCCGATTGCACGCCCGACTGCATATTGAACGATATGTCGACTTTCACCTGAGTCTCACGATCCGTTAATTTAATTATGGGCACCGATGCTTTATCCAACACACGCACAGTACACGCCTCCGCAATGCCACGCGACACCAGCTCGTATTCTAGGGTGCGAAGTGGCAGTTTGTCCCAAAGGCCTAAAAACAATTAATATGCTATTTGAAGAGGTCATAGTTTAAGATTGTTTCATAGTTTCTGATTCGTAAATATCGCTTGAAAGAAACCAATCAACTCAGCCAATACGACTTTAACCATTCATATTTTAAGCATATCTTTTGGATTTTGTATAGTAATATATTTTAAGGATCATTTGGTTTTGTTCAGAAATATGCTTCGGAATCATCACTAACTGATTCTTATATCAGCTTTCAAATGTGAAAATCGGGAGTTGCTAGTTCTATAAATCAAAAGAATTTATGCAGTGCTTGAAGAACACTTGCAGAAACGATAGAAAATCGTTGATGTGATTAACTGGGAGCAGCTGTTTTGTTGGAGCAGCTCAGCATGTTTTAGTTATCACTGGTTTGAAAGTATTTGGCAATTCCAAGTATTAGACATAATTTGTGACTAGTCTAAAACGAAGCTAGACTTGAGAATATACTCTATGAGAGTTTCTGATGGGCTCTTCTGTTTTTTGCGAGTCCCCAGACACTTTTTATATTCTGAACACAAATGCGAAAGTTACTGAATTGTGCATTTCTTTACAAGCGTTATTACGAATAGAACAATTAAATAAACTTGTGTTTAAAAAAGAAGAAAAACTCACCCAGTACAACGAGATCAATATCGGAGGTGGGCAAAAATAGGCCAGTACGAAAGGAGCCAAAGATCTCGACAGCCGCTTGCGGCCAAATCGTGTGCACCACAGACTCGATGCGCTTAACGACCTCATTCCGTATGAAATGCTCCAGGGGAGTGGGTTGTACGTGCTCATAGAAATGCTCGATTTCCTGATGCAGTCCCAGTATGCCATCGGCATAGTCGAAGTCGAGCTTGCGCCACGTGCAGCCTTTGTGCTTCGAGATCATGTCCATATGCTTGTTCGGATTATATGTGCTCGCCTTGTTGTCGACGACACGTTTCCTACGCGACGGATGATAGTAGTTGGTCCGCTCGTGGACGGGCACCTTGCTCAGGGAATTCAACGGATTGCCGACGAAATTAACACCACCACTTGTGCTGTCGGGCACGCCTGAAGTTGTGGGCGTTGTGACAGATGATGTATTCACAGACGATGTGGTGGTCGGTGCCGTTGTGCCCGTCACGCCTTGGCCGTTGTTGCTATTCGATGGTGAGTTATTGTCGTTGTTCGATGTTGAATCAATCGACGTATTGCTTGAGCTTTTGCCGCTGCTTATGTTGCTGCCAGCGCCACTATTGCTGTTATTATTGTTGCTACTGCTGCTGCTGCTGCCTTGACGCGTCCCTGTTCCGTTAAACTGCTGAAGAAGAAGTAGTTGTAGTGAGTCGGGATCACGCAGGCTGTTCATAGGACCGTTGCTTAAAAGCTTATTTGAATTGCTTGTGCCCACCACCTGTTGGTTATTGTTGTTGTTGCTGCTGCCTCCGTTGTTGTTGCTGTTGCCGTTTCCACCGCTGCTGTTATTATTATTATTACTCTGCTGTATCTGCTGCTCAATGAGTGCGCCCATTTCTTGCGCATTCGTTTCCCAAATTTTTAACCATGTGTAATACGCTGGTCCCACCTGTTCCTCCTGAAACCAGCCAACATAAGGATCCATTCAAATTTGTCGTCGTAGGCCGAACCGTGTCCTCTCTAAATGCAGACCCGATCACCGAGCGATCGACAGTGGGGGGAACAGCTACTTTGACAACACACTGCACTGGCGCTCACTATTATTGCCTCCCTTTAGTTGCTGTTCTGCTACTCCTTTTTTTTTTAGTTATTGTTGTTGTCTACTTGCAACCTGCGTAATGTAATGCATAAGTTGGTTATTCATCTAATGCAGCAGCACACATAACTTTTGGTCTTTTTGGCTGCCCCCTTTTGGTTGGGCGGCAGAGCAAATATGTTTTTTAAGTGTGCGCAGTTGTTGGCGTGTTTTCTTATTTTTTTCTTTGATATGCTTATACTCACTTTCACAGCACGCGATGAGCACACCGAAAACTAAACGAACTCTCTAAACGTCTCGACGCTGAGGGGGCTGTAAGATATTAAATGAAAAATCACAAAACTAATCAGTTTTAGAATCAGTATCGAACATTTAACTAACAAATGACAATTTTGCCGATAACAGAAATATAGCCGGGCACGGGGTTGCCAATATGAAAAAAATATTTGAAAAAAAAAAAAGAAGTCCGCAGCACATGCAAGCATCCATACATACAAGCACACAACTACTACTTAAATGGAATATGCACAATTTATTGCAATAATGCAGCCGCCGCTGTTGCTGCGTCGGCGCCGAATGCAACTGAAGCGCAAAAATGCCGGATGCCGGGTGCCGGGCAAAAATTTGCTTTTTAGAGCGCAAAGAAAAGCAATTGTGTGCATTTAGAGTGCCAAAATATAAAAATGAAATGAAATCTGCCGCCCAATGTGCAAATTATAGTCGTTATCGCTTAAGTAGGCGTAGCAACCGTCATGGGCGCTATCACTGCTCTGCTCACGAGACTTGCGCAAATGACTTCAAGTTATGCCACTGTAAAGCACATACATACATACATAGAAACAGACAGACACACATGCATACGTATGTGCGTGCGTATGTCCGCGTTGCGGAAGGGCGTACAGGTGGCTACAGCGTGGGTGCCAATTGCGCGGGCACACTACATGCATCATAATTCAATCACACACATACATACAAACACATGTGTGTGTAAGAACAAATAGACAGCAGTATTCCTGCATTATTACAAATACAAAATTATATATGTATATACATATATAACACACACGAACATTTTTTCACGTTTTCGAGGTCATCTCTTAATGCGCACACACAATTGCTACCAATTAAGTTTTATCTGACAAGTTCTAGTTGTATTAGCGTTTAACTAATTATATATGTACATATTTTCGCAAATTAACACTTCTGCTTTTCGGCTCTGATCGCAGTGTTGATCAGCGCGTACCGCTGCAGCCGTTGTCGCCAGCAACAATGGCAGTGTTGGAAAATGTAGGTCGGTGTTGCCACCTGATATGGGCCGGACCGAGTGCTGGTGAGGATGATGGTGCTGAGGAGCGCAGACAGCAATGGTATTCCCAGAGTTAATTTAGATTTCGAATAGCTTATTATATTCTAAAATTTTTGTTAAATACAATCAAAATTATTTTCTGTAGAAAAAACGGCCGGTTTAATAATAATATTTTGATCAACCGTTGTGTTGGTTCTTGAATTGCAAAGAGTGTGCCTGCATGTTGCGGTGTTTTTTGGTGGTACCACAGAATTTGTGTGGAGCATCAGAGAACAGCTGTTCAACAAAATCTATTACGAACCAAAATCAGATGGAAGAATACCACTAGTATGAAAACATTAATTTGTGCAAATTCGTCAATTAAAGAAAGACAATTACTTTTATAAGTCTTGTCATTAACCAAGATACACACGCGCACACTCCCAAGTAGATGCGGGCGCCAGTCACTTATAGCTTAATATTTATATATGTATATATATATATATATTTATATATATACATATATATATGCGTGCAACGTGTACTTGTAGCGGGCGTTTGTACTGAACACCCACTCACTTGCCCCCGCCCAAAAATACTACTACTGTTACAGGCGCCGCACACACATAAGCAGGCGCATACATACAGACATGAAAGCGAATATGCATACGCAACGACTACAAAACTCTACTACGCCACACGCACACATACAAATGTATATGCATGTGCACATGAATGTACAAATTTGCCTGCTTTGCCCCGTTTGGAATTTTTCACACACATTTTTTCTTTACCTTGACGATTAGCGCATACACACAGACACACGCACACACACACACTGAACGCACTGTTAGAAGCTCCGATGCAATTTAGATATATACAAGTACATGTACATATATAAATTTGGATTTTTACTGCTTAAAATTGCTTATTGTTAATTTTTTCAAACCGCCGTCAGTCCTTATAAGCACAAATTCGCGTTCTTGCCCACTTTTGTTGCTTTTGCCTCAGCAAAGTCTTACCGACCGACCGATTGTCTGTTTGCTGTGCCTTTTATGAGCACACACATACACAACTCACTCACACACACGCACACAGAGACGCTGGTTCTTTCGAGAAGTGCCCATTACCGTGTAGATTTTCTATGCAAATCAATAACGTTGTTGTAGCGTCACTTGCAGTTTATCCTAGAGTTTATTTATTTCCGGTTGCTTTTAAGCAACGCAGATGAAAAACAAATTTTTTATTGCAATTCGGAAACAATTTTCCACGAACACGCGACGCGAATGTGTATTCGCTCTATTCGTACAAAATGCAAGTGTGAGCGTGCGTTGTTGCCAGCCTGTGGGCAGCTGCGCGCACTTGTCAATTCATTGACCATAAAACACGCCGTATTTTATTTCTATTGCATTAGCACTGTATAGTATTAATAAAATTAATAAACACACACAATAGGTACGTCTGCTGTGAGCGCAAAATTAACAAGTAATTGGGGACTGAGGCCTCTAAAATGCATTGGCAACTCTAGGCATTTGACAGAGTTGCGCAACGATAGAAAAGCAGTATTGTAGCCATTGTCGTAACTTCCAGTTGTTATCGATGATTGCGCAAATGAAGCGCGACCAATCGGCAGCATTTAAAATGTATGTGAGAACTAGCTCATGAATTAGAATCATTAAAAAGACGTTGCATTATTTTTCACACAAAAATTTCTCTTTATTGTTTCGTTTTTGTTTACTTCTGGTAGTTTTTGTTTTGTCAATTATTGAAAATTACATAGTACATAATGTGTGTGTGTGTGTATGTTTCTCTGCATGTGTACATGTGTGTGTGTGTAGTTTGCGAAGGGAGTTACTGCAACTGAAAATTTTGTGCAGTACAGCCCCTTCTCAATAGTTTGGGTTGTCTGTTGAAAAATTTGGAGTGAATTTATGTATATAGTGTATTTTGTTGTTTTTTTTTTGTTGCTTTATTGAGATGTATTGCCTTGAAACCAAATAACTTCGTTGGACTTTTGAACTATGTGGGGAAAATACTTTATAAGTGGACTAACTAAAATGATGTTCACTCTGTGTTCTTGTTTTTGTTGTAGTTGTTGTTGTGTTGGCAAATTTAGAATAGCAACTAAATTGTACATTTTCACAATCGTTTGTACTTCATGAAAAAGATTTTCTTGTTTGTTTGTTAGTTTCATTTGCATTTGCTTGCTTGTTCCACATACATAAGTATATACTTGAGTTGGAGATACATTACAATAATACAGATGCAGTAATATACATATATTATTGTATGTCTATTTGGTTGGGTTGGTTCCCGTTACTCCCTCAATAATAAATATAAGTATTTTCATAAGTTGTTGCCTTTAGTTGCCCTATTATTTGTTTGCATTATCATGGTGTATGTTGTGTAGTATATACTCGTATGTATAGTTTTTCCGTTTCTTTATTTTGCTTTTGTTTTTTGTTTTGTTTTGTTTTAAACATTTATATATGCATGTATAGTTTTCTTTAAAGTTACATTTAACATTTATTTAGAGAGACATTTAGGGGGTTTCTTATTTCTTGTTTATTATTGTTAAGACATATGTATGTGTGTGTGTGTGTGTGTGTGTGTTGGTGTTGTGTGTGTGAGTGTGTACCTCTCTATAAGTTTGTGTACAACATTTAAAGCTTGACTATTATTGTATTTTATGTTCTGGAAATGTTCGACACACATACATACATACATTTGCTTATTGTGTTCTGTGACTCTCTTCTTCATTCCATATAGATTATAGGTTTGTATGTATGCATGTATTTAATAAAAGTGCCACTCCTTCGCGGGAAGGGGGCTGTAGCGGGGGCGGGCAGTCGCCTTTAGACGCAACATTTAATATCTAATGACAATGACTCATCATTTGGAAATTCATTTTCATGTTTTTATCCATTGTTTCTCATTAATAAATATATATATTCATATATATATATATATATATATAGTATATGTATGTGTGTGGTAAAAAAAAATCTTAAAAATAACTCTTCGCCTTTGGTTCTAAAGCATTTAATACTATACCTAGTAGCTTAATGGCTTCGATGCAGGCAGCAGCAAAAACATTTCACTACTCTCTGAACTCCCCTCGGTCTAGTACACACTAGTATTGACGACCCCTGTGCCCGCTGGTTGCTTTCTATGCTAATGTTTGTGTTTGTGTTTGTTTTTTAATTTTTCCATTAACTTATTTACTTTTATTTTCATTTTCTGCTGCGCACATACATACATATATACGGATATACATATACATTTATAGTATATTTAGTTTTATTTGTATTCTGGTTTTCACATAACAGTTAATTAATAAGCTTTTAAAGTTATTCTCTACTTATGTTTGCTCCTTTTCTGCCAAAATACGCATGGTTGTTGTTTAAAGTTTGCAATAAATTAATGTTATTAATGTGTTACAGTTATTCTTTTTCGATGAACATGTTGTTTCTGTCCTTTCCGTCTGGCTGCTTTACTTTTAAAATGCAATTATTATTAATTGTTAATGTATAAAAAAATAATGTTCAGTCAATTATAAATATACATTTATATTTCTATGCACACACACATACATATACATACATGGGTATATTCTTCATTTATATAGGGTCATATGTATATGTATATACTTAGTATCATCATGATCGTAAATACCTTTCAAAACAATTCAATTCAATTCAATATAGTTAAATCAATCAATCAACCAACCAATCAATCAATCACAACAAAATTAAAATAACAAACACACAACAAATTGGAATATGCACGCGCTACAATAATTATCATTAATTTTTGGATTTCTCCTGCTCCTAAACCAACTTAGTAACTACATATATGTATGTGTTTGTGTGTATGTTTGTTTTCTGGCTGGCCACAGCCTTCTCTGCTCCCCTACGTTCCCAAACGTTCCCAACGACTACAACGCGCATTTGCATGGAGACGACGAAACACAGCGATCTACTCCTTCTTCTCTCTCTCTCTCTATTTAAAAAAAATTGTTAATACAATTTTTTGTAACTCCCTGTCTAGTAATTAATACACATATTTTAATAATCAGTCGCATAAATGAATCACCTTACTGCTGTTGTTCGCTATAAACTGCTTTGCTGCTTTATAGAACTTCGATCTGCTTAACATAATCATTGTTTGGGAGAAAAAAAAAAAAAATAAAAAACAACACACACATCCCAAGTTGCGGTCTTCATGAGTGGCTGATAAAATGCCGAACTGCTTAAATATTTAGTTATCGTAAAGACAAAATAGAATTGTCTCGACTTTCAAATAAATATTGGATACTAAGAGTTTTGCAAGTAAGCAGTTAAGCATTTGATAATTAAAATTGATTGCTGATTAAACGCTTAAATGTTCAACTAACGTGAATTTAACAATATCATTGTTTATTTATGCAAGAGTTTCATTTTTAAGCAGTTTAGCAACTTTTCGATTCAGGAATTCAAATTGGTTATGAACAGGGTTATATCTTTAAGCAGTTAATCAATTATTCGAATTAGGCATTAAAATTTAAAAAGTTTCATCTTTAAGCAGTTAAGCAATTCTAATCAGCTAAATCTAATGCATAACTGCATAAATTGACAACTTAATAATAATAACATAACTTGATGTTGAATTTGCAAATTTATGATTAAGAATTAAAATTGGATATTAAAAGTATTTCATCTTAAGCAGTTCAGTAATTATTCGAATTGGGAATCAAAATGGGATATGGAATATTAAAAGAGTCTCATCATTAAGCAGTTAAGCAACCCTTCGAATGAGGAATTGCAAATCGATGTTTAAAGAGTTTCATCTTTGCGCAGCTAAGCAACTTTAATCAGCCTAATTTCGTGATGACCCCAACTCTGTTGTAAGATACATATTTAAAATTCCAAGAGTAATAATCCAGCACACACACACGCTGACTCACGCACACAAATTCTCACACATCCATCTATCGACATACAAACATTTTCCGATTCACTCACTCTCAAATGCAGAGTTGTGTGCACCGCCTCACGAAGACTCTTGCACGAGGACTCACGCAAAACGATGTACACACACTCACATACACGCTCGCCTATTTCTGTAGTATTCGCGTCTTTTGGGCCAAAGCCGTCTCTGTTTGTTGCAATTTGCGTTTGCTGCTAAAGTTACACAACTTGGCCGATATTTTGCTAAGTGTAGTTGCCGTCGTAGTCATCATGTCCAGCATCTCCAGGCTGTCCAATTCATCCAAATGACTGAATGCCGATGAAGCTGCTGTTGCTGTAGATGTTATAACTATTGCGCTGGAATTGTAGCCATCACCCGGATCGGGATCGATGTCGATGTCGTTGAGTTGATTGGCCATCGGATCCTCATCGTAAGGATCGTAGGGGGGTCTTAATTATTGTTTGAACACAAAGAGCCCCGTCGGGTCCCACTCGTTATCATCGACGGGGCCAAAGCACTCATCGAAATACCATTCCATTGTCTTGTACACATGACTCAGTGATCGTCCAATGGCATGATCCTCATCGGGATAGACCTGTGTACGAAAGAAAGCTACTGACTATAACTATCTTCCCTATGTGCATGTAGCTACGAACCTGATGACGGAACTTGACCTGCTGATCAACCAGAGCACGCACCAGCATTAGTGTGTGCTCCTGATGGACTAGCGTGTCGGCTGTGCCATGCATTAGCATTAGATTTCGACCTTTAATATTGCCCGCTTTCATTGTCAGATCGGCCTCTTGCAGGGCACGCAAATAGTCGCCCTTTAATGGTATATAGCGTTCGGTGAAGAAGGAGTCTGCAAAGGGGAATCACAAGGACGAAATTGAAAGGTTGATGGTTGGATTTAATAGGAGGATCCAAAATACACGTAGTACTCACAGTGATAGCCAAAGGAAACAATCGGATTTATTGAGACGGCACATTGCAGCACCTGCTGCGAATCATCGATGAGCATCATGGCGGCCGCATAGCCGCCGTAGCCCCAGCCAAAGGCGCAGATGCGTAGCGGATCAATAAACTTCAAATTGTCGCGCAAATAACTGTGAAAGTTCCACGAGCGGTTAGTCGAGTTAGGTACTATATTAGATACATATCGCTTAGTTTGTATTCTACGCGCTCAACTCACGTTAACACGCCCAACTGATCCTCAACCTCGACGGTGCCCAGTTTGCCATGCACTTGTGTGCGCAACAATTCGCCTTGATAGCCGCTGCCACGCCCATCAATCTGCGCCACGATGAAGCTACGCTGGCTGCACAGATACCAATTCCAGTCCACATGGAAGCGCTCCGTAACCAGCTGGGAACCCGGCGATGCATCACTAGATTCAATAGCAGAGGAATGAAATATGAAAGATCGTCTGAAATGGATTCTATGGAGATCTTGGATCTCGAATAAGTTGATGATGGTGATCTCAAGTTGAATGTAAGTAATGATAGCTATTGGGTGTACAAAAGAAGTCGACCTTTTTAATAAGATGGCGCCAGTACTAAATTCAAAAATTGCCTAGGATATCTAGGATACCTGTCCATTGAGGACGTCCACAACACCACTTATAGTTCTTTGAATTCCACGAAATCTGAGGCGAATGAACTTTGAATGTTGTGGTGAAGTGAAAAAAAATGTTGGGAATTGTTCCAAAGTTTTAAAACGTAGCAGATACGAATCTAGAGCATCTACTTCTATAATTAAATGAGCTGGTGAAACGAGTAAAGACACACAAAACGTTCAAAAATAGAACTTGGGCTAGATTAGAATTTACAAATAGAGGTCTTTCTCAAAGCTGATAGACTCGTCAACTCCACTGAACGGCACGGATTCCTTCAGTCAACCAAGAACGTATTACTTCAACTATATCGAGCAAAAGAGCTTGTTGACCGCTTGCCAAAAAGCAGGACCATGCATCTTCTCACTGTGGACTTAGTAACAGAATTTTGGGATAAGTTAACAAATAGCTAACGAGAAGCATTATTTTGAATAATAGATAGAGCACCATTTTTCCGGCAACTTTCTCTTTGTACACCCAATAGATATGAACTGAATCTGACTTACACATGCAGTACCAGCGGAAAAGCGACCTCTTCTTCTTCGCGCATGCCTGGCGGCAAATAGAGTCGCACTTGGGCATGGAAGCCATGTCTGATCTCCACACTGAACGTGCGCATCTGCGGTATGGCCAGCTGAGCTAACCGATGCCGCAACACATCGCCGGCGTTCAGTACGAAGATCTTGTCGTTGCTCGCTGTATCGACGAGATAGACGCTGGGTGCCTCGGGTCCCAGGCACTCCTGCACATAATACGAATAGTCGCGACTGAACTGAACACGATTATAAAGACAATTCTTGGGTATATCGTAGATGCAATCGTCCGGTTCGAGGCGTGCCACCACATCCTCCCATTTGTCCCCACGTTGCCACTCAGCGGCATTTGTGCTATGGGCCCGATATAGACGATAGGTGGCCTCGGTATTGTCGCAGGTCAGGCAGGTCGGTTGTGTTGAGGTTATGTACGTGCGATTGGACTCGGTGAAGTTTAGTTTAAGGCTGATCTTGTAGAGGTGCCGTTCGCCAGGTCGCTTCTCAGGAGCAGCCATAAAATAAACGATCTCGTGCGCCTCGTCCCAGCCAACGATTTCGGTAACCTCAAATCGGCCCATGGTCAGCGGTACGGGTCGTCGATCCAACGATGATATGAACACCACATGCCTATAATGGCCATGTTCGCCATCCCGCACCGGCAGACGCTTAAGCAGATGCCCTCCATTGGATATCTCATACGTTGTCTGGCCATTAGTTACATTCGGTTGATTCTCATTTCCAGATGACAAGCCCTCCTGTAACTGCTGCTGACGCTGACCCATTCGTAGCTGGGCTCCTATCCGGGCCGAAAAGACGGGACGCTCGGCGGGCAACACCCAACCATCGTTGATGGTCACCTCCGTGTGCACCACTTGACAGTAGAAGTGCGGGGCCCGGCATATGACCGTTGTGGCTGTGGTCTGTTCTCGATTTGTCACCGTTACGGAGAGATCGATGGGTGAGGCCCAGGTAAGACCGCCCACATAACTTCCATTCGCCAGCTCAGCGGGCAGTTTGATTTGTGTTGGAAATATATACTTAATGACCGAAAGATTGACAACATTCACGGTTACATTGGGATTAATGGCGCCTGCCTTGGGATAACGTTGTGTCAGCACAGCCGGATATTTGATGTCATCGCCCATCCAAGTGTATCTGCAAAACAAAACATGCGTGATTTTAGTTGAATAGTCGTAACTGAAAGCTATGGAAAGACATGGGAGATGATGGTGCTTTTCAGGCGGTACCTAAAACTGAAATGATATTTGTATTCTGGAACACGAGATGATTAAATTCCTATGCAAGAAGCTGCTGCTTTTCGGTTGATGTAAGAAACTCATCCGCTGTTAGTTGCATCCAAAAGGTGAATCCTTGGAAATCTCGAATGTAATTTCAATTTTTTAATTCCAGATGATTAAATTCATTTGGAAGAAGCTGCCACTCTTCGGTTAATGTAGAAGACTCATCCGAAATGAATGTGCTGCATCCAAATGTAAACACTTGGCTCAAGATGATGCATCATATGTCATCTTCTTCTGTTCTTATCTGATTATATTCGTTTTTCGCTGGTGTTCCCTGCGTGGATGCTTGGAAACATCCAATATAATTCCCAACTTAGAATTATGACCTCATAATAAGAATGCTGCTTCTTTTCCAATAATGTAGGCGACACATTCGAATCGATGGCATGATATTTTTTTAAAATCGTTCTTTTCTAAAGTAATGATGTTTGATGATTTATGTTTGGATAGGAATTAGAAGGAATGCCAAATTTCTTGTCGTTTAGTAAGTACCATTTGACTCGGATAGCAAATCAAGTAGGCATGGATGATTTCTGCAGAGCCGTAGCCTTTGGATATTCAATGTTTAAACATTTATAAGCTTCCTTCCGTATTACTTTTTATCAACCTAAGCATATTTAAGTTTGTTTAAATACATTTAAAAATAACAAACTATAAAGATCTATTACTTATAAAGGCAATTTTCTTTTAGAAAGGCAGTAAATAAAATTATGTACATCGATTAATCGATGGCATCTCTAGCAGTCTTTCATTCAGTTCATTCGATATCTCTAGGAAGTATGTAGCTCTGCATCTTTGCATTTAGGCGTGTTTCCGTTTCCGCTCACTTTTCAAAAGTAAATCAATTGTAATTGCGCTAACATGCTACTAAAAAATTAAAATTGTCTTCATTTCGATTCGATACGAGCTGCATTTATTTTTGAATGCGTGCTAATTAAACTCATGTTCGAATTAGAAAGGTGTGGCTAGGAAGGCAAACAATTTTCGGAACTGAGAAGAGCTTGCTTTAAATTAATTGTAACACTGTTTTCTTCAAGCAGTTATTGCTTTCCAAAAATGGTTCATCAATCAAAGTAGCGAAACAATAATCTTCGCAATATTGAATATTGAAACATCGCGAATTATTTTTGATTCCATGCAGACAAAGGAAGAACTGTTAGTAGTTTTTTTTTCTTTTCTGGTAATCGAAAAAGTTTTCACTCTACAAGTATACTCACTTGTACTCGTTAACCACGCTGTCATTGTATGTGAGGAAGGCTAGGAAGACACCATCCGGTGAGAAGGATAGACTGCTGCGTTTGCTCTCCAGTTCCGGCACGTTTTCGTATGTCCAATCGGGAATGCCATTGTACAGCACCCCCGCCTCCCCCGTCTGCGTGATCCGGCACACCAGTTCGCCCTGCACCTTCGGCTTATAGTAGATGTCGTTGTGGTGTACAAAGGCAATTGCCTGGTTCAGAGTATAGCTTGCTTTGCCAGCATTGCTCCCATTCCCATTGCTGCCGGCTGTTGGTGTCGGCTTTCCCGCCCCACCAGCCGCCGCACCCGCCAGGCTATTCAGTATTATGCTGCCACTCGGCAATGGTGCGGGTGTCGATGTCGGTGCGCCACCAGCCGCTTCACCTGACGGCGACGGCGACGGTGGCGGGGTTGGTGGCGGCGGCGGATTTATGGGGGCCCAGACAACGTGCTGCAGGCGAGGTGCCTCAGCAATGTTCTCAGTTGGTCCCAATGGAAATGTGTTGGCGGTTTGCACCTCGTAGACATGATGTCTGGAGCCCTCGGCATTGCTGTCGGACTGCAGAAGCACATATTTCTGATCTGGCGCTACCAGAAAGGATTCGGCATTCAGTTGACGCTGTGGCGAAAAAAAAACAAAAATTAACAAATACTTTTAAAATGCAATAAAGCTGTGGCCCTAATGTTATTTATAAAGTTTGTCGTATTTGAAAGCAGTTTTGTTTTCTTTAAGGCTTGTTCATTTTAACAGTTAAATCGTTTTCGTTATTAAGTCTTTCGTTGGAAGACAGAGCACAGAAAAGACTTAATTTTATGCCCGCTTCGTCGCTATTTCTGCTCATTGCTCAAACCTTCCAGAAACGAATACTCCTAAGATGAATCGATATAGAACTGTCTCAGTCTTCTTATTATCACTACAATTGGTTAACATTTGTGGATTTATAATAACATTCTACTTATATCCCGAAGTGTCATCTAAATTGATGCACACAGTATAGTTTTATGCCCCACGTTTTCGTTAACTATGACATTGGATTGGGTATTCATTATTAATATTATAAACCCTATATCAGTTAACGAAGAGAGCAATTGCGATATTTTCAATAATTTTCTGGTCTGTTGCTTATGCAAGCTTATGCGAAATTGAAATTGGTGCGAAAAACGATTTTGTTAATCGGTTTCAAAAGTTAGTTTCGAAGCTGATGTTATAATTTTTTCGACAAGCCGGTTATTAAGCCTTTTTTCTTAAAGATCTAACTCTATTTCTAAAATTAAATTCTTCTCTACATATATCTGGATTCCAGCCGGAGGAGATCCTTTAGTTATAGTTGTTTAGATATTTACGGCTAAGTATTTAGATATGAGTATTTAGTTTGCACCAATCGAACATTTTCAAAAAAGATTCTACTCTACGACGGAATAGTTTTCGAGAATGTTTCGTAACAGGGGAAAGTAAGACAACTTGTAAACAAAAAGTAATCATTAAATGTACATAAATATTTCGTGTTTTCTTAATTCAAAGTGGCTTTCCATTCACGTCTAACTTGCATTACAAGTACTTACGAATGTGGAATTAGTCATCAGAATGCGCGTAGTGTGGTCGGCCAGATTGAGAATGGAGAGGCCGCCCGTGGGATCGCGATAGACGAGCTCGTAGTCTGCAAAATAGAGGCGGGGTTAGGAGGAATTAGTAGTTTGCAATGCTCCAAGAATGTGCGAATGGGGTACACACCATTGCTCCAGGTGCCGTTGAACGGCTTCCACTGCAGACTTTTGCCCAAAATATCGCTGGGTAGCATGCGGCGACCGCGTATGCGCAGACCCTCATCCTCGGGCGAGAGCAGGAATATGGAGAATATGATCAGGCTGAAGACGGCGGCGATTACCAGCAGGGCAATGAATATGCCACGCCAATTGCGTCGTTCCGGTGAAATGGCGACCAGCTCCTATAAACGAAAACATAGAGGGGGTAGAAAGGTGCGTTAGTATTTTTGAATTCTGGATCGTTCAGACTTTTGGGATTAACAATAATCTTTTCAGAGTTAGGGTTTTTCCAACACTTTCAATTGCAGCTTGAAAAAGAGTTGTAAAAAGCTTAGAGATGTTATTTCTGTGAAAAGTAAAAGGAAGCGATGCTCTAGTTTCCTTGAAAACAGCGCAGCTTGAACATTATCTTCAGCTGTTTTTTTCCATTTGGTTTCAATTTATTTTTCTTTCATTTTTGATGAAGATTGTAAGACTACACTTGCATCTTTCTAAATAAACAACATTTATAATATAACATTTAAATTTTAAGATTGACTTTTATGAACAATTTTAAAATTTGTTTTAAGACTAGGAAATTAAATTAAAGAAACTTGGCTCTTTCAACACAACATTGCTATCAGAATTTTGGGAGTTGTCTAGAGCTATTCTATATAGGCCATATATACAAATATAATTGTATGTGTAAGCATTTGTATTCATATCATATTCTGGCAAGAGACTTGTCTAGACAAGTAATCTATTTAATAAGCGCGAATGCAATTTATTTAATTTATTTAATAAATACTCGTATGTGCCGGCAATGTCTGTAAATATGCAAAAAAAAAAATATACGACGAGATTGCAACTCTTTCATGAGTTCGCAAAAAGGACACTGGACCCACCCATTGGGTGTGCTGCGAAACGAAGAGTCCTGGCGTGTTGCGTCAACACGTCAGAGCGTGTGGCTCGCAAAAGTTTTTAAAAGAAAGAAGAAACTTTTCGCTTAAAAAAGGAAGCTGGTTTGACAGTTATAAATAGATAGAAATAGTTAACAAGATCAAGAAATTTGTTTTGATGTTAGAACTTTCCGAAGTCTTAGAAAAACTAATTATCAAGTTTTTTTTTTATATTGATAACAATACGTAAAAACAATTTGAAGTACTCGCTCAGTTATAGATGTGTTGGTATAAATCTATTGGTTGTTATTTATTTCAACAAAAGGCTTACAATTACAGTATTTATTAACAAAGTACATATAAATGCCATTACACATTATACCCAAAGAGCTATAACATCAAGGCATTAATCTAAAATTTGTGTATGAACAATGATTCGAACTTAAAGTCGGGGCTCAGCGATTTGTTGAAAGCCTAATTCTGTTTTACACATTGGTTCCAGAAAACGTCGTCTAAGAAAAAACCGTGTGAAAAAATACATTGTTTATATCTTATTTTAAATCTGAATCAAAACCGTTTAAAAAAAAACGTATAAAAACAGAATTAGGTGTATTGTGATAACGTTTTGTGTAGAGGGATATATTCTTGCTTGTAACATATTTGGGTTTTATAGGGGTTTGAGTTTTATTTTTTGTTGGCAGCACTGTGCCAAATTTCCATTCCATTTGATTCTAAAAACTTTTTTCGATTTTTAAATTACCCGCAATTATTTAACAAAGAAATTCGGCTCGACTTTTGTGTAGATAATGGAATTTTTGAAGCCAAAATGTTGAAAATGTTGCAGAAAGCTTTCGATATGAAGGCTATGTTGAAAATACAAGTTTCTCCATGGCATAAAATCTTCAAACAAAATCGAGAAAGTGTTGAACAAGTAGAACTTAAACATCATCTGATGAACAAAATGTTAAGCAAATGAATGAATTGGTGCTACGAAATCGTCGATTGATAACTGGAGATATTGCTGATGCTGCTGGCATTTCTAATGGATCAGTCAACACAATTTTAAAAAAAGGTTTGTTACTCGTAAAAGTCAAGTCAAACCTAAATCATTTCACAACCACTTCTGGCACTGCGGGGACACCATTTCGATACGAGTTAGGGGATTGAGGTCGAATCGAAGAAGGTATTGAAGTACATTCAAGAAAAGGATATATTTTCTTTGGGCTGCTTCGAGAATTTAAAAAGGTGTTGACATAGGTGGATTGTATAAAGTTTTTAAAAGTAAGAAATAGTGTAGATCATATTTGTACATAGTAGTACTTATAATGCTGCATTTGTATACGATTGTAGTGGAAGGACGCGTTAAAATGCGATAAACGATTGGTCTATTTTTTTAGAGGAACTTCAAAGTTATCGCCATTTTAGGATAGGTTCGCAAATCATTAAACAAAGCGGAACATATCTAGCCTGAATCAGATAACGAAATCCCTATTAAATAAAATCTTATGAGCTTAATAAAATTTATTTCAATGAACATTTCAAGGCCTTCATACATTTGCAGTAGCAATCGGATTTATTTTATTTTTTGTCGACAAACACGAGCTTTCGTCAAAGGTATATATATGTATATGTATATGTATATGTATATGGGAAAAATCTAATCAAACTACAATTATGTCTAATGAACGCTCCGACTCGTAGGGGGAATTTGATTTGCCAATCGGCCAGCTATGCCCCGATTCATAGTCAAACATTTAAAAAAGGACAATTTTAAATCAATTCTTGTACATAGTTACTTTATCAGAATATGTACATATGTATAAGTTATACATAGTATAGAGCAATACTAGAACAATAATAGTCTAGCACAGTAGCTTCCAAAGGGGTTTCATGGTTTAGATCCTTTTTACCTTCCCGGTAAAGTCGAGAGCCGGCGGGAATATAGTACAAACACGTAGTTATTTCATATTTAATTGTTGTGCGTGTGTATTCGTTGTCCTGGGTTGGCACAGGAAAAGGCGCCTAGCGGTAATTTTGAAGTGTATTTAGCGGCGCCCAGGGAGGCCGGAAGTGTTCGAATGGTTAAGGAAGGGCCGGAACTGGGAGGGCGGTATTTGTTTGCCGCGAGTATCGCACGTGGCGCATTTTTCTGTTGTTGCTTTTTGTTTTTTTGTTTTTTGCCGGGTTAATTGAATTTTGTGGCGCCTTGTTTGCCTTTGTATTAGTGTTTAATTATTTCGCTTCAATTAACTGCAATTTTATTACGTGGGCGGACTGGCTGGCTGGCTGGCTGGGCAGTAAAAAAAAAATAAAATATAAATATTACATACATAGAATAAACAAACGGGCCAATGAAGAAATTCGGAAGCCATGCAAATGCAAACCATTCACCTTTTCAGAAAGATACATCATTTAAAATTTAAAAATATAAAATTACAACAGCGATGGGGATGGCGATGGCAACATCAGCATTTTATGCGGCCGCGCCAAAACAAAAACATTTCGGTTGAACATTTTATGGAGATGATGATGGCAGGGGCAGGGGACGGTCTACTCGCTTTGTTTACACAGCCGCGTGCCAAAAACTTTTGACCTGGCCAGCGATTTTTGAACAGTGTCCAGCCCAAGAAGCCAAGTGATGACCAGAGAGTGGCTGCCGTGGGGTGGGAGATGGGTTTCCATTGCAGTGTGCAAACAAATTCGGGGAATTGATTGACCGGCGCGTTGAAAACAAATGCAATTTTATGCAACTCGTTCAGTTCGCTGGAAATACGGTTGAAATTCATTTAAAGCAACACTTTCTTGTAGCAAAAACATGAAGTAAAACTTGTATTTAGAAATAGGGGAGACAACAAATTGTAAATCTAAATAAATAAATAATATAGAAACAACTTCAAACTTTAATTTCTCTACAAATTCAAGTTCGCTCAAATATTCGCTCTGGGGAAAGTTATTCGCCGAAGGAACTGAAGGACATATCTCAAAGAGAGTCTGTTTTAATGGCGATATAATAAAATAAAATACGTACAAATTTTGTTTTTATCTAAAAATTTGATCAGAAGGTGGTTTGTTATCTGATATTGTCTGGTTGAGAGAAATACTATATTTGTTGATCTTTAATTTCGAACAAACATAGCTTACCGGGTTGGACATTGTCCTTGTTCTCTTTCTGATCCTTACTTTATCTAATTAGCTCTTAAGTTTCCTACTCTACTATTTTTATACCCTGTACCCGTAGGGTAAAAAGGGTATATTAGGTTTGTGCAAAGTATGTAACATACAGAAGGAAGCATCTCCGACCCCATAAAGTATATATATTCTTGATCAGCATGACGAGAGAAATCGATCTAGACATGTCCGTCCGTCTGTCCGTCCGTCTGTCCGTCTGTCCGTCTGTCCGTCTGTCCGTCCGTCTGGATGAACGCAAGGATCTCGGAAACTATTAAAGCTAGAATAACCAAAGTTGGCATCCAGATTCTCCTAGGTCCGAGTAAGGACGAGTTTATTTTTTTTTTTTTAATTTCCCCCCCCTTCCCCCGCTACAGAATTTCGTCAATAGCGTCCACATTTCAAATGCTACCTAAACCAAACTTTGCACACATAATTTCTATACAATTATCTACTGTTGTTTAAAATTTTATCAAATTCGGTCAATTCTAAGAAAAGTTATTAGCAAAACAAATTCTCACCAGTACAACCCCCCCAAACTGCAGCAACAAGTTCGCTCTTCTTCTTCCTGTTTTTGCTGCTGCTATGGGCGCATATAACTCAGTGACGGAAGTTTACCTGGGTACAGGGTATTACACTGTCGGGCTTGCTCGACTGTAGCGTTCTCTCTTGTTTATTTTTTAGTTTGTTAGGTTTATAATGTTATAGATATTTTTGTAAAGTTATTTTTAAGGCTTTTTTAAGTTGAAAATTATTATTAATATAAAATATCTTATCGATACATATTACTGTATCGACAGCACGATTTGTTGATTTATGAAAATAAAAATAATATTAAAATATTAATATAAAATATCTTATAGTAATCTATATCGACAGCACAATTTGTTGATTTATTAAAATAAAAATAAAATAAAACAATCTAAGTAATTGCCAAGTAAGTTTGCAAATGGGAAAGAAGTCTGTTATGCAGAGACTTTACTGTAAACTGTAGCTGCCTGTTTATGTCAAAAAACCACACGCCCGATTCAATGAGTGGCGCTGCATAAACAATTTCATTTGTGGGGAAAATTTGGCATTTAATGAAAGCAGTCAAGCATTAATTTTTTTTAGCGTCAAATGCAGACAAGACAAAA